GGGAAGACCCTACCCTCCACAAATATAGGGCCAAGGCCGACAACGAACTAGGGGGATCTGTCACAGGAAAAAACATATCAGAAAAAAAATTGTGCTTTTGGTGCTTAAAAGGGGAAGCCAACACAACACTGCAACCGTACTAACATTACAAAATGCACATGTGCAAATTGTATTTTCGTGCATGCCTGTAAATGGCATGGCGTGATAATTCGATTACTGCCTGTGCATTCTCAGGGATTTTAACACAGCAAAACAAACCCTAGAGCAGAAAACAAAGCGACGAAGAGCCGATAAATAAAATTAAAGGCTGGGATAGAAAAACAGAGCGGCGAATAGCCGAGAATGCCCATTACCAAGTACAGAGCCATAGAATAAGTTAATAAAGCGGCAAATAGCCTTTAATGCCTAAAACCAAATATAGAGACATAGAATCTTGTAAAAAAAAAAAAAAGTGGGGGATAGCAAAGAGAATAAGTGATATTTAACCAAGAAAGGTACAGTCAGATATTCTCTGGTTACGCAAATAAATCATTTTTATTTAATCTACCTCAGTTGGGAATTGAACCTGCAACCCACAAGAGATGAACAGTCACAGAGTTGGGTAAATCCAGCGGCTATACAAAAGGCATAACAGAGACCTAGGAATAAGATAATCCAATGGCTTTATTAAAATACACAACCAATGCCGAGGAAAAAGTGAAACCATATAGGCCCAAGAATAATCAAATCCAGCTGCTATATTAAGAGGCATAACAGAGGCTTAGTATTAAGTGATTCCATCGACTCTATTAAAAGGCATAACAGAGGCCTAGGAATAAGTGAACCCAGTGGCTATTTTAAAAGGCATAACAGAAGTCTAAGAATAAGTTTGATTAAAAATAGCAGGAATCTCTTACCGTTCAGATGAAGCTGATGAAGGGTAGAAGGGGTTATATCCATATATATGCTCTGACTGTGCATGCACAGCCTGTTACCCTTGCCATCCGGGTCACAGCAAGTAAATCCATGGGAAAGTACAAGATAGAGTTGTACGTTAACCCTTTAAGTGATAGAATGCTAGTCAGTCTCACATTAACTCTTTCAGTGATAAATCTTTGCAATCCATATGCTCTGTATGTGCATGTCCAGCCTGGCTGTACGGATCCTCTCATCTTTGTCACTGGCAGATCTGCGCTACCACCTTGTAAGGGCCCTGCCAGGAAGCTTGGAGTTTATTCCCCTTTACTGGCCTAAGCACCCTGGACTGCATGGAGATGGTCGCTTGCCACTCGGGCCAACTGCTCCATGCGATCCCGAAGTTCCAGGACATATGGCACGATAGGGACCCCCTCATGTTTCGTTTCCCCCTCCCAGTGCTCGCGAATGAGATCGAGGGGTCCTCGCACCCTCTTCCCATAGAGCAAGGGTGAAAACCCAGTCGATTCCTGGGGCACCTCTCGATATGCGAATAAAAGGTGCAGCAGGAATTGCTCCCAGTCTCTGTACTCATCCGTGAAGGGCCACAGTAACTGTTTCAGGGTACCGTTGAAATGCTTACAGAAACCGTTAGTCTGGGGATGGTATGGGGAACTGAGTAGGGGTTTGATACCACAGACCTCCCATAACTGCTGAGTGAGGTCTGCTGTAAACTGAGTTCCCCTATCAGATAATATTTCGTTCGGGAACCCCACTCTGGTGAAAATCCCGACCAAAGCACTGGCAACAGTGTCGGCTTGGATATTCGACAGAGCGACGGCTTCCGGGTAGCGTAGTCCACCATGGTAAGTATGTATTTCTTACCAGATGGACTGGGGTTGGGTAGGGGTTCTACTAGATTGACAGCCAACCTACTGAAAGGTTCCTCAATGATCAGCATGGGTAGTAGTTGAGCTTTAGGGCGATCCGCCCCTTTTCCTACTCATTGGCAGACATCACATGTACTGCAGTAGCGTCGCACGTCCTTAGAGATCCCCGGCCAAAAGAATGTCTGGGTAATCCTGTAGGTCGTGTGGTTACCACCCAGATGTCCTACCAAAGGGATGTCATGCCCGATTCAGAGAAGTTCCACCCAGTTCCACCCTAGGTACTACCAGTTAGCGCTTCTGGGATGGGGCACATCCTCTCTTTCTACCTTCAGTTAACCGGTCTAGTCTATCCTTGTCCCAGAAAAACCTCTCGTGCTCATCCCCCCGATCTTGGCTTTCTCTCTGTATTTCTGTAGAATGGTTCCTCTCTGGTTTACCTCCCAAACTCCTCGGGAGTATCCCAAGCTAAGGGTTTACTGGCTACGGTCATGGTAGGGGTTGGTGGGGTGTGTGGCGGAACCCGCCTCGCCACTGGACCTTGGAGAGGCCATGCTGACTATGGCCCCTGGTAAATTTGTACTTTTAATGCAATATTTGGGCATGTGATATTTTATATTGCTGATACTGGACCTTTAAGGGCCATCCGGGGACATATTATGACTTTTAGGAACAATACCCCTTTAAGACTTGGTAGCAGATTACAGTAAGGATGTCTTTTATATTATGTATGTTTCTGTGTGTTCGGCTAAATTGTATATGTGTATGCAGCATTCCCCTGATTGTTTGGTAGAATCACTCCATTCATTATATTGAGTGAAACTACCGAACAACCAGACCACCCAGGAAGAAGTGTGCCTCTAATTACTTGGCAATCGATGTAATGTGTGGTTTGGTCTTCTGGGTGGCCGCCATTCGGGAAATGAGCACGTGGCGGCGGCCATCTTAAACTCCCGAACAGCTGTGTTTTGCTGTCGAGTGTCTGGAACTAAAATCGGACACTCGACTAGGCAAACACCGCTGAGACCTCCAGACTTCCATGAATTTGTGTGGAAACTACCGAATGAACCACCGTTCGGTAGAAAGAACCCCACGAACAAGGGAATTTGTTTAAACCCTCCCCAGGCTCTATAACCCAGGCAATTCGTGTGTTTTCATTCCTTTTTCTGTGACCGACTGCAGGGCCAAAATACATGGAACTATTTTCGGATGCTTTTGCCATGCAGTCGGTCAAAACGTTAACCCTCCATAATTCCCGAACCCCTTGTCCGATCTGGGTGATTTTTGGATATGTGTCTCACCCAGATCAGGGCTACCAGGGGATGTAACATTTAAAGGGGTAACACTATGTTTAGGGGTACATCTAGTAACCCAGGGAATTTGTGTCTGCACTAATGGGATTATGTGTCACACTAAGGGGAGGAGATGTGTGGGAGGTAACTGGTACATTATTGGCTGGGGTACTAATTGTCGTGGATCCCTCCCTTGCATGGGAGAATGTCTTAAAAGGAGGTTGTGTGAATAAATCTGCAGTTCCTGCTTAACCCTCAAAGTGACGTGTCGTCTCATTATTGGGGAAGGATTTATTGTATGCTGTTCCAGTTTGACTGCTAGGAGTCTGAACCCATCCGTATGGTTTTTGCCTATTCAGGTGTTTATAGCATTCACATGCTTGAGAGAAGGTATACGCTTCTCCGGTTCGGTGATTGTGGTGTCTGCCAGAGTGCTTGGAGTCCTCAGGAAACGCTAGGAGCATCCTTTAACGGAGGTACCCAGTCGGTGAAGCATTTTCTGCGAGGCGAGCCTGGGAACGAGTGGTCACGGGGCAAGCTGTAACGGCTGGAGTGGGTAGGTAGACTGAAGCCAAGGGCCCAATGTCGTTGCCCAAAAGAACTTCGGCCAGCAGGTTGTCCATAATTCCTACTGTGGGCTTGCCATACCTGACTCCCCAATCCAGGTGTACAGAAGGGAGACGAAAGACCGCTCCTCCGGCAACTCGTACAGCCACGGTGTGCTTGGACAAATTTTCTGGTTTGATCAAATGTCGTTGGACCAGAGTGATGGTAGCGCCTGTGTCCCACAGTCCTTGAGCTACTTGTCCGTTCACTCGTACCTCTTGCCGGTGCTGCTGTCGGTTGTCCAGGGTTGCAGCTTGGACGGGGTCTGCCTCATACAGTTGGAAGCCACTCAATGCAACTGGCAGGCCCATTCCATGTGGGTATCCCCTGTCTTTTTCTTGGATTCCTGGAAGCGGCGGCGATAAGTCTCTGTCGGATGTCCTCCTGGGAGAGGGCTCGGAAGGCTTTGTTTGCTTTCCCAGACAGCTTTCCTGAAGGGAGGTACCTGGTGTAAGGCACATTGCCTCTCGAAATCAGCCAAGTACCCATCAATTTCGTTCTCATTCTCCACAAAAGCCTTAATTGCTGCAAAAGGGACTTTCCTGTTCTGCTGTCGGGGGAGGGGTAGTAACTGCTGATACAATAGGTTGTCTTACCCTTTCTAGTTGTATCTCGTGTTCCCTCTGTGGCGAAATTAACCTCGCCACTTGTGCCTGGAGAGGACTACTTGCCAGCCTCTTGCCATGTGATTATGGTCCTAACACGAATAGACGAACTGCTCTCATTCTGTTAGGGCGAAATTTGGTAGTTTTGCCAGAATTCAGGAATACGGAAAGAAGGCATTGCGAGAACACAAAGGAAAGGTGAGAATTGTGGGAAAATTTTTCTGACCACAGGAAATGGAACACACTTTGCTCCTTCGCTGGTCATAGATGGTCAGGTGTAGGAGCATAAATAGACAGGAGCATAAACGAGAAGACAAAGTCACTAGTCACCCCATCCCTCCCTCTGTCACTAGTCACTCCCTCCCTAACTCTGTCACTAGTCATCCCCTCTCTCTGTCACTAGTCACACCCTCCCTCTCTCTGTCACTAGTCACACCCTCTCTCACTCTGTCACTAGAGTGAGGGGGTGACAGGTGACAGAGTGAGGGAAGGGGTGACTAGTGGCAGAGTGAGGGGATGACTGGTGACAAAGTGAGGGAGGTGGTGACTAGTGACAAAGTGAGGGAGTCGGTGACTGTCACTAGTCACCACCTCCCTCACTCTGTCCCTAGTCACCCCTTTCCTCACTGTCACTAGTCACCCCCTTCGTCACTGTCACTAGTCACCCCCTCCCTCTCTCTGTCCCTAGTCACCCCCTCCTTCTCTCTGTCACTAGAGTGAGGTGGTGACTAGTGACAGAGTGAGGGAAGGGGTGACTAGTGGCAGAGTGAGGGAAGGAAGGGGTGACTAGTGACAGAGTGAGGAAGGGTGTGACTAGTGACAGAGTGAAGGAGGTGGTGACTGTCACTAGTCACCCCATCGCTCCCTCTGTCACTAGTCACCCCTTCCCTCCCTCACTCTGTCACTAGTCCCCCCTCCCTCTCTCTGTCACTAGTTCCACCCTCCCTCACTTTGTCACTAGTCACTAGTCCCCCCTCCCTCTCTCTGTCACTAGTTCCACCCTCCCTCACTTTGTCACTAGTCACCGCCTCCCTCTCTCTGTCACTAGTCACACCCTCCCTCACTCTGTCACTAGAGTGAGGGGGTGACAGAGTGAGGGAAGGGGTGACTAGTGGCAGAGTGAGGGGATGACTGGTGACAGAGTGAGGGAGGTGGTGACTGTCCCTAGTCACCCCTCCCTCTGTCACTAGTCACCCCCTTCCTCACTGTCACTAGTCACCCCCTCCCTCTCTCTGTCACTAGTCACACCCTCACTCTAGTGAGAGAGTGAGGGGGTGACTAGGGACAGAGTGAGGGAAGGGGTGACTAGTGGCAGAGTGAGGGAAGGAAGGGGGTGACTAGTGACAGAGTGAGGAAGGGGGTGACTAGTGAAAGAGTGAAGGAGGTGGTGACTGTCACTAGTCACCCCATCCCCCCCTCTGTCACTAATCACCACCTCCCTCACTCTGTCACTAGTCACCACCTCCCTCCCTCACTCTGTCACTAGAGTGAGGGGGTGACTAGTGACAGATTGAGGGAAGGGGTGACTAGTGACTGAGGGAAGGATGGGGTGACTAGTGGCAGAGTGAGGAAGGTGGTGACTTCCTCCCTCTGTCACTACTCCCTCCCTCCTTCTGTGACTAGTCAGCCTCTAACCCACTCTGTCACCAGTCATCCCCTCACTCTGTCACCAGTCATCCGCTCACTCTGTCACCAGTCACCCCTTCCTTCCCTCACTCTGTCACCAGTCATCCCCTCACTCTAGTGACAGAGTGAGGGAGGGTGTGACTAGTGACAGAGTGAGGGGGTGATTAGTGACAGAGTGAGGGAGGGGTGACTAGTGACAGGGGGGTGACTAGTGACAGGGGGGTGACTAGTGACAGAATGAGGGAGTGGGTGACTAGTGACAGAGAGAGGGAGATGGTGACTGTCACTAGTCACCCCATCCCTCCCTCTATCACTAGTCACTCCCTCCCTAACTGTCACTAGTCATCCCCTCACTCTGTCACTGTGTCACCCCATCCCTCACTCTGTCACTAGTCACCCTCTCCCTCACTCTGTCACTAGAGTGAGTGGGTGACCAGTGACAGAGGGAGGGGGTGACTAGTGACAGAGTGAGGGAGGAGAAGACCAATGACAGAGGGAGGGGGTGACTAGTGACAGAGTGAGGGAGGGAAGGGGTGACTAGTGACACAGTGAGGGGGGGTGACTAGTGACAGTGAGGGGGTGACTAGCGACAAAGTGAGGGAGGGAGGGAGGGGTGACTGAGTGAGTGAGTGAGGGAAGGGGTGACTGAGTGAGTGAGGGAAGGGGTGACTAGTGACAGAGTGAGGGAGGGGTCACCCCCTTCCTTACTCTGTCACTAGTCACCCCTTCTTTCCCTCACTCTGCCACTAGTCACCCCTTCACCCCTAGTGACACAGTGGGGGGTGAGTAGTGACACAGTGAGGGGGTGAGTAGTGACACAGTGAGGGGGCATCTAGTAACAGTGAGGGCACTTAGTGATACAGTAAAGTGACTAGTGACACAGTGAGGGGGGTGACTAGTGACACAGTGGGGGGTGACTAGTGACACAGTGGGGGTGAGTAGTGACACAGGGGAGTGAGTAGTACACAGTGAGTAAAGTACTAGTGACACAGTGGGGGGTGACTAGTGACAGTGAGGGGGTGACTAGTGACACAGTGGGGTGACTAGTGACAGTGAGGGTGGTGACTAGTTACACAATGGGGGGTGACTAGTGACAGTGAGGGGGGTGATTAGTGACACAGTGAGGGGGTGACTAGTGACGGGGTGACTAGTGAAAGTGGGGGGGTGACTAGTGACAGTGGGGGGGTGACTAGTGACACAGTGGGGGGGTGACTAGTGACACAGTGGGGGGGTGACTAGTGACAGTGAGCGGGGGTGACTAGTGCACAGTGGGGGGATGACTAGTGACAGAGAGAGGGAAGGGGTGAGTAGTGATAGAGTGGATGTATCCTACCTCTCTCTCTTTTGGTCTCCCAGGCTGCTGCTCCTTCCCCTCGCTGGGGCTCTGTGTAAGAGGAGTAAACAGGAAGTGATGTCACTTCCTAGCTCCGCCTCTCCCATCACACAGAGCCGCATGTGACAAGAGGCAGGACACCTGGCAGAGAACTGAAGCTGCCAGGTCTCATTTGTGGGGTGAGGGGGGGGGTGACTTGCAGAGCGGTAGGTTGTGGGGCCCCGAGCTGCATTAGGGGCCCCACAACTTATCAATTAAATTTTATTTTATTATTTTTTGCCGTTCCAGTTGGAGAGATCTCTGATCTCTCCAGCTGTGCGGCCGGGCCCCTGACTGTCTCGGGCCCTCAGCCCATGACCGATCAGTCAGTCCGCCCCTGCCTTTGACCCTTTCGATCTTTTCTGGATTGATAAAAAACTTTTTAAAAACCTACCTATTAACAACGTAATTATCTCCCATACTTTCCAATCTCTAATACCAATAAAGAAACACTTTTTTGCTCCAATTCAAATTTCCTCAAATGCCCCGCTGGAGATTCTAAAATTCTTCATTCAAGATCTTATTTTATCTGGTTGGTTAAAAATTCAGGACCTATACGATTTTATTGGAATTTGTAGCTTTCCAAGTATTAAAGAAAAAATTGGACTTGTGAATAAAGAATATTTTACCTATCTAAGAATAAAAAACTTTCTTTATAAGGCAACTCTAATTGAAGATTCGCCTTTTTGATAAGATCCTTTTTTGGAGAGGTTAAAAATAAATCTTCAGCAGTTTCAAGATCTTTGGAGGTATTAAATCAAGAGGTAAAATATAATCCGATCTCTAGGTGGGAAACCGACCTAAATAAATCTTTTTCATCCCAAGATTGGTTAAAAGCATTTGAAGCTTTAAGAAAATTGGTCCATTGTATAAACATCCAGGAAACATACCTTAAACTTATCCACAGATGGTATATGGTCCCTATAAAAATATGTAAATTTCAAGCCACTTCCTCAAATATCTGCTGGCGCTGTAATAGTGAACATGGTTCATTTAAACGTGTGGTGGGAATGTATAGGTTTGGACATTATTAAATTGGAAATATCTAAACTCTTTATTGATTTAAAAGTAAATATTACGTTATCTCCAGAAAGATTTTTATTCCATCTACCGTAGACTAACCAAAAATGTATAAATTCTCTCAATATTTGACTATACATATCTTGATGGCTGCTAAACTATGTATTGCTAGAAAATGGAAACAGAATATATCTCCCTCTATAATAGAGATCAAAACCCAGATTCAATATCAAGGTCTAATGGAAAAGGCGGTGTATTTTAACAATAATATCAGCTTTTACAATAAGATTTGGGGGAAATGGTTTGATTATTATAAAGAATAAACTATTCAAGCCTTATGTAATTTAACAACCCTAGCTTTGATGCTTCTGTAAGATAAACACGGATAATAATACTCCGAAAGTGGCTCTAGTTATAATGAATACTTTAAAGAAGCGATATCGACTCTGTCCTTTTCCCAGATCCCGATACCTTGTTTTCTTTGTTGTATGTCTCTTTATGTAGTTTTGTGTATATTGTAAGGTAATATTTATATTTTGTGTTTATCTTATGACAACTATTTTTCTCTAATACTTGTTTAATTTGCAAAATTATAATAAAAAACAGGTAATATGGGGCTTAGGGGCATTTGGGGGTGACTATGGGGACAATTCGATGTAATGGAGTCGGGAGGGGGATTTAAAAAAACAAAACCTGGATTCGGCTATGACAGTGCCGCTTTAAGAAATATGGTTCTGACAACAGGCGTTCTCTAGATCCCGCACTCATCCGCTCTCTCCAACCCTCCCTCCACTCTCGGATTCCGCCCACATTCATTGTGCGCATGCGTGGCCAAGCAGCCATTGTATAGCGGAAGCTGCGGTGCTTCTTAGTTCCGTTGCAGAACGAGCTCGCAAAATGGCGAAGATTGCCAAAACACACGAAGGTAAACGTTATCAGATCGATTTGAAATGTATATATCGGCATCTAAGGACGTAGTCTATGCGTAATATTCCCTGTGAGGCAGTGAGTTAGAGGGAGATGTGGAGGTTTGTGTCCCTGAGGTCCTGCGTGGTGTAATGGCGCCCAGGTCTTGTTGTTGGTATAGATTAGGATGGCCTTAGCTCGCAGTTTTCAGGAAGACTTTTATAGTGAAGCTTACTGCCCTCTTGTGTGTCATATGCACTCGATCGATAGTGCTTACATCCTTTTAGGGGAGCGTTGTGTGATGCATAGGTATAGACCTTGTACAAGGTGGGCATAGTGGCTGTTTTACCCAGCACTGTACACGTGTACCATCAGTCTGCCTTATAGTGAGGCTCTGCGCATTGTTTACTAGTGGGATTACTGAAATGGGAGTTTATCGTGCATGTGATTTTGAAAAACGATTACTTGTTAATGTTTGGGATTATAGGCCTATGTTTATGATGGCTGGTCATTGTTTTGATGGCAAGGATCACCATTATAAAATGATCCTTGGGTTTAAAATATAATTTTTTTTAACACAACGAATTTACAGTGCCTAGCTATTTAACCCCTTAAGGACACATGTGACATGTCATGATTCCCTTTTTATTCCAGAAGTTTGGTCCTTAAGGGGTTAATTGAACACAGAAAAGACTTGTAAATACTGGCAATAATGTTTTTTCCTTTTTTTTTTTTTTTCTTACCTTTTAGTTTAAGAAAAGATCCAAATATAACTATATATTCTGCAGTTTTATGTGAGCAGGAAACCTATGTGGCATAAGTTTTTGATTGTTCATTTTATGATAAAGTACTGTGGTGTATAGAACTGCCACTGTGTTGATAACCTGATCAAGTACTGCTCCAGACACTTATGATGCTTGATCTGTTCACATTGATGCCTTAAGCCAGAGGTAGGCAACCTTCAACTTTCCAAATGTTGTGTACGTTTTCCTTGATGCTTTGCCAGCGTAATGGCTGTAAGAGTGTTATGGGAGATGTAGTCCACAATATCTGGAATGCAAAATGTTGACCTACTTTTGCTGTAAGCACCTCCTCCTGGTAGGATCAGCTTTAGCTTAACCCCTTAAAGGACCACTATAGGCACCCAGACCACTTCAGCTTAATGAAGTGGTATGGGTGCCAGGTCCAGCTAGGTTTAACCCTTTTTGCAGTAAACATAGCAGTTTCAGAGAAACTCCTATGTTTACCTATGGGTTAATCCAGCCTCTAGTGGCTGTCTCATTGACAGCCGCTAGAGGCGCTTCTGTGCTTCTCACTGTGATTTTCACAGTGAGAAGATGCCAGCGTCCATAGGAAAGCATTGATAATGCTTTCCTATGAGACTGGATGAATGCGCGCGCGGCTCTTGCCACGCATGCGCATTCAGCCGATGATGGGAGGAGAGTCCCAGCTCCCGGCGCTAAAAAAAAAAAAAAGGTAAGGGATTAACCTCTCCCTCCCCTTCAGTGGGAGTGGGACCCTGAGGGTGTATAGTGCCAGGAAAACGAGTATGTTTTCCAGGCACTTTAGAGGTCCTTTAAGGACGGGGGACATTCTATGCCACCCTTAGGGACCCGGCTCTAAACACCGGAGGGCGGCATAGAACGTCCTTTGTTCTTACCCCAGCGATCACAGTATGGGGACTTACCAGGGAGTCCCCCTGCTTCCTCTTTGGTCCCTCTGGGCCATGTGATCGCAAGGTCCTTGTGAGGACCTCACAATCACATGGACGGCATAGCCGTCCAAGGCATTGCCAGCAGGGGGAGTGCCTGTAATGATAGGTACAGTGTCCTGAGGGACACCTGAATTGTGACAATTGGGCAGTGAGACTGCAAGGGCTTAAAGGACCACTATAGTGCCAGGAAAACATACTCGTTTTCCTGGCACTATAGTGCCCTGATGGTGTCCCCACCCTCAGGGACCCCCTCCCGCCTGGCTCTGGAAAGGGGAAAGGGGTAAAAACTTACATTTTTCCAGTGCTGGGAAGGGAGCTCTCCTCCTTCTCTCCTCCTCCGTTCCTCCTCCGTTCCTCCTCCTGGGCTGAATGCGCACGCGCGGCAAGATGAAAATAACGAACACCTGAAAATAAGTGACTAGTGTGTCCTAATATATTTGACATTTTGACCAGTTTATGAATTTCATAGGCTTTGATATTCCCTAGTTTTGTGTTGTGTGCTGAGTGATTTTCTTTGTTTGACCTCTAAAACATGGTGATCATTGATCAGTGTGCACAAATTATAGGATAATTTTTGTGCTTGTAAAGTATGAGGACACAATGCCTTACTCCTTGTAAGATGTGCAAATATAAATTGTACATCGATTTATTATGCAATGCACATTTGGGTAATGTCAACTAGTATACCGCAAAATCGTCAGCGGTAATTACTGTTACTGGCATGTAGAATAGTACTGTTTCTGGCATCGTATTGTTATCCCATCAACTGCTGCAGTTTTGCTTGTTTAAAGTTGTTGCCATGATTTTCTTATGTAAGAGATTGGGATGGGCCATTCTAGTATATCCAAATATTATGAAACGTGTGATCATAAGCTTTTAGTGCATTTATTTATTTAGACTGTAGTGCAGAGCTGGTAAGAAGATGCTAGTGTTTTAATTGGTGTACTTACCCAAAAGTCAACATCTATTTTTAAAGAAAAAAATGTTTTAACCCCAGTTAGCCTTGCTTGAAAGGGATTACACCTTGGCTATGTAATCACTTATCACTCTATTGGACATATTTCATTACATTCCGTACTGAAAATCTAACATGTAATATAAACAAAAATTCTTAACAAAACTCGATGTAAGTATTGACTGAAAACTAAGCAGTTTTGTTTGTTAGACAAAATATAATTTGAATGGGTATAATTGTGTAACAGTAAGGTTTTAGGCAGTTGTGTAGGTTTCTGGAATGGAGTCTAATTATTTGTAGACTATGCAAATGCAACATAGACCTAAAGGTAAACCCCTGAGTAAATCATTGAAGTAGTTGTAATGACTTTACTAGCAGCATAGTTATGTCCCTAAAGGTGACCTTGTCTACTCATTTGCTTATGAAAAATCAATGCTAAATCTGACAAATTCTGCAAATCATTTTATGAAAATGAATAATCTGTTATCTTGTTTTGTAGATATTGAAGCACAGATTCGAGAAATTCAAGGGAAAAAGGCAGCTCTTGATGAGGACCAAGGAGTCGGTCTTGATTCAACTGGATATTTTGATCAAGAAATTTATGGTGGCAGTGACAGCAGATTTACTGGTTATGTAACATCTATAGCCGCAAATGAACAGGAAGATGTAAGTAATAATTAGTGATTAAAAGTTTAAACATCACAAAACATTAACCCCTTAAGGACGGCGGGCGTACTATGCCATCCTTGAAGGGGTGGGCATAAACGCCGAAGGGTGGCACAGTACGCATTGTCGTCCTCTCCCCGTCCTGCGGCCCTACACTTACCTGGACTGGTGATCCCGATCGGGGGGGACTGCCTCAGAGCCCAGCAGCCCCCTTACAACAGCTCCAGGACATGTGATCACTATGATAATCACATGGCTGCAATAGGAGTCTATGGAGCTGCCTGCAGGGAGACTGGCTGAGCTCTCAGGAAGTCCCCCAGACGCCAAAAAAAAATTAGATTCATCAAATAAATAAATATACTATACATGTATTATATGTATAATTAAAGCATTTTATAATTCTACATATATAATGCATATATATATAATTTCATTATAAGTGTACTGTGTGTGTGACCAAAGATGGCTAGGGCTACACTCACCTGAACATGCATAAATTATATATATATATATATATATATATATATATATATATATATATATATATATACACACATATATACATTTCTGAATTATAATTTAAAGGACCTGCAAGACAGTCCAGAGAATTTAATTAGGAAGCCCTGTAACTTTCCAAAACACTATAAAACCTTTACATGTGGGATATTGTCATACTCGGAAGACTTTGTTGAACACAAAGGAGTGTTTCAAAACACTAAAACTTATAACGACGATATTACCAGTAAAAGTGCAGTTTTTGTGTAAAACAAAATAAATGAGTGCTAACTTTAGCCAGCGTTTGTGATTAAGTGGCTGCTAGAAAAGACTGAACATACCCCATTTTGAATACCCTGGTTTGTTTACTTTTTCAAATGCTATGTCATGGTGGGGTTCATTTTCATTTCTGGGCTGCCATACCGTCTCAAAATCAACATAGCCAATCTGGCAAATAGCAATTTTGCAAAAACAGAAATTGGCAAATCTTAGGTTTGACCCTGTAACTTTCCAAATCACCATAAAACCTGTACTTGAGGAATACTGTTGTACTTTACGCAAATATGAGTGTTTTAGTGTAGTAAAATGTATTATACTAATATCATCAGTGAAGGGGCAGTTTATTTGTGAAAATGCCATGATGGTGTTAATTTGTATTCCTGGGCTGCCATACGGTCTCAAAGGCAACATAGGCCCAGCAAACCAATCTGGCAAATTTCAATGTGCAAATATGGAAAAGGGGAAAGCCCTACATTTGACTGACCCTTGTAAGTTTCCAAAAACCCATAAAACCTGTACACTGGGGATACTGTTGTACTCGTGAGACATTTCTGAATACAAATATGTGTATTTTATTTCAGTAAAATCCAACAGTATCATGACATTGACATTCACAGTTAAAATGTCATGCAGAACTTGAAAAATAAGTTATTAATTGCTCATACTTTTTTAGATTTTTAGTCATATTAAATTGTTTCATATATAAATATTTAATATGAAATGAAAGACCTGTCTCTCCTGAACAAAGTGATTATGTAATAAATGTGGGTGCACTTAATATGAAAGAGGGGAATTATGGCTGCACCATATATAGCGCAATTTCCAGGTTTTGTTTACGTTTTGATCACAAGTTGTACAATTGGCTCAGTCTTTAAGGGGTTAAATGGATTTCAATATGTTTGAATCCATATTCCCTACACTATGTGCAGTTTTGTTTTGAGTGCATATACCCAGGCTTCCAAATAGTAATAGTATACAATGGATGAATAATACAAATTTGCTTGTATGCGAGAAATATACTTTATGCTGTGTACATATACATATATTAAAATAAACACATGGATGCTTATTAGATTACCGGAGTAGATTTTATCCGTTATCATTTATTAATCATCACAGCACAATTATATAAGAGGGGGAAAAAAAGATAGAGATCCCCCTCTCCCCTCTCCCCTCGTAGATGTAAAAAACAGATAAAATTCTTATCGTGTAATACCTTTTTTTTTTTATTGGTGTTGGATTTTATGTGTATATATATATATATTCCCCTCTCTCTCTTAGGGAAACTTATGTACTCCCACCTAATCGGAAGTAAACTTTTCTGCAGTATTGTATTCACACCAATATTTTCTGTTCTGCAGGACGACGATGACTGTTCTGCTGCAACATTTGAGCAGAAGAAGCCGGGTTATCATGCTCCGGTGGCATTACTCAATGACATCCCTCAGTCCACTGAACAGGTAATTATTGACCACACTAGTAGTAGATCCCATGCTTAATTTCTAGGTAAACACAAGTTGTAATTTTACTGGCACAATGGATAAATGCTCTTTTAAAGGAGCTTTTTAAATGAGGGGCTGGACTCCTAGTCACTTTTTTCTCAACCAATTAGTTAGCTGTTTTATCTTCTAAATATTCCCTGTCTAATTCACAAATACTCTAATATCCATTCTTATTATATGCTATAATTGTGACACCTGGCACTATGAGGCAGGTTTAATTCGTCATTTAAGAAGTGCACTGCTGATGAATTGGCCAGCTGGTAACCTAGCATAAAGGAATACTCTGGTTGCTAGTACTACTTAGGTGATCTAGCCATGAGAGGTTAATTTGAAAATGAAGTGGCTTTGGTGCTTTGACTGTCTTTTTAATTTCATTAAATCCTTTTCTCTTTTTCCCCATAGTATGATCCATTTGCAGAGCATCGGCCACAGAAGATCGCAGATCGGGAAGATGAATATAAAAAGCACAGGCGAATGATGATTATTTCCCCTGAGCGATTAGATCCTTTTGCAGATGGTAAATAACTTTTTATTATAATTCTTTTAATACATACATGTAATTATTTTTTATTTATTTTTGGTGGTGTATTAAGTTTAGATTTTTCTTTTGAATTCCTCCCTCAGTTTTTTTTTTTTTGTTTGTTTGTTTGTTTTTTGTTTTTCTCTTTGCCAGACACTTTTCATTGGTTAAGTCTACAAGACAAAAGTATAAACCGTTTGTATTTTTAATGCAAGTTGAAGTGGCATGATTTTTTTTTATTATTATTTTTTGTGTGTGTGTGTGTGTGTGTGTGTGTGTGAGAAAAAGACTTGCTCTCAAGGCAGAGCCTGTAAACAATAAATACCCTGTTGCAAGCGATACTTGGGGTCTTCCCCCTGGGGAGTAAATAGTAGCTTATATGAACCCTGTTGCATAGATTTTTGTCTTATTTATTTTTAGTGCTACAGGTTTTCTAGAATGTTGCATACCTTTATGCTACCAGAGTGTCCTGCCTCATGCTCATTCTCTAAGATCCAGTGGCTTAATGGAGCTTTCCACCACAGAATAAGCATTTTTATGTTGCTCTTATCTTTTATATTACAGGCCAGTGTGATACATCACATACAAGATGTATTGAGTTCAGGAGCAGGACAATCTTGGTAGCTTTGCACTGCAGGTTATTTGTAATAATGTTTCAACCTGCATATAAGAGGGATGGGTTTTGTGTTTTGGGAAATTGTAAATGATTTAAACAATGCTTGTCAGAATTCACAGGCCCATACTAACTGTCCTTAATTTCTTTCCTACAGCAGTACTGCTAAATGCCAGTCCTGTCTGCATTCTTAAGGGTGCAGTGCAACACATCCTGTGTAGCTAATGGTGAAAAAGTAATCCAAAGGAAGTCTTATCATATCTAGTGTCTGAGTGACACTACCAATTGGGCATGGTTTCCAACATTGAAAATGTATAATTTAATTTAGTGGACCCAAAGTAGAGCTTTATGGACAGCACCCTTTTTCCTGTTCACTTACGATATATATGGAGAAAATTATAGTACTTGAGAACTGAAATATTGGTGATTATTCCCTTACATGGGAAATCTGTATTGGTAACATAACCTTTGCTAATTATATTTTAGTTATAAAATGCCCTCTTGATTAAGTTCAGTGTTAATGGTTTTGATGCAGGGCAAAGTGGGAAATTGGGCCCATTGCCATAATTGTGTGTTGTCATACACTGGTTTGCTCAGATCAATTGCATAGGTTCTTCATGGTTCCAGCACCCCTCTTGGATCACCCTCGAATATAAAAACTGAAAATTGCTCTTTGTGCTCCATAGTGAGCGTCCTTTATCAGTCACTAGAAAGTTTTCTTAAAATGAAACCCAAAATGTTTTGGAGCCACAGTTAGGCATTGTTTTGGATATAATCAAACTTACCCAGGTAATGTTTATGAGTATACATTTTCCAAAGTGTTACTAATGGTAAAGAGATGATTTTCTAGGCTTCTATTCTGCTGCTTGAAGTCAGAACTGCTGATGGAGACAAAGGCACGAAAGTGTACGTATTCTGGATTAGCAACCACGGAATCCATCACTTCTGAAGATGCTACACTGCTTTGTCATTTTTAATTTTACCTGCATTAATATATATGCTTTTAAACTGTAGTTGTGTTCAAACAGGTTACATAGAATGAAAAACTCATTAAAGTAAGCTATGTTATAATGTGAGATTAATTTTAAACTTAAAATATGCAAGTGGGTTAGCATATGGCTAGGCTATTTTTTTTTTTTTTTTTTTATATATATATATATTTTTTTCTTCTTTTTCTTTTTCAAGAGGTCTATTGAAAATTCACTTGAATTTATTGATTTCTACTCCTGTTGCTGTTCTTTTCTGCAGGGGGCAAGACGCCAGATCCAAAAATGAATGCAAGAACATATAAGGATGTCATGAGAGAGCAGCATTTGACAAAAGAAGAGGTATGTCAACTATAAAGCAGAGAAACCATATTTCAGCTTTATAGTGTTAGTAATTTGTAATTATGTGATTTTAATTTGGTGTGAGATTCTGAAGTTTTTATTTTTTACTCTAATAAGCCAGAAATTAGACCTATTCATAAAATAAATTTTTATTTTTTATTTTTATCAAAACCATTACTAATTACAGTTTAATTTGCATATATTGCAGTGTAACCTAAACAATCACATTCTAATGGCATTTAAGTATCCGGGAGGAGGAAGCTATTTTAGCACAGTTCTGTTAAGTGGTGTAATGACTTTAGGTAGAACTCTCTTTTAATTTCAATGAAAAAAATTGGTTGGCAGTAAAATCTTTGGCTTAACCTTGTATATCAGAATTTATCAAAGATACGTTGTTTCAAATTAGTGATCCATTGTGAGGTGTGAGAGGTGCTCAGTAGTGTCTTCACTTAAATGACCACTATAGTGCCAGGAAAACAAACACTCTTTCCTGGCATTCTAGTATCTTTAGGTCCCCCCTCCACTCTCAAAGTCCCACTACCACCAAGCTGAAGGGGTTAAACACTTGCCTTTCTCCAGCGCCGGGCCACTTCGGCACTCTCCTCCCTCTGCCGGTGCCGAATGCGCATGCGCGGCAAGAGCCGCGGGTGCATTCAAGCAGTCCATAGGAAAGCATTTCACAATGCTTTCCTATGGACGTCAGCGTCTTCTCACTGTGATTTTTCACAGTGAGAAGCACCTCCAGCAGCTGTCAATGAGACAGCTACTAGAGGCTGGATTAACCCTCTGAAACAGCTATGTTTACAGCTGCAGAGTTAACACTAGATGGACCTGGCACCCAGACCACTTAATTGAGCTGAAGTGATCTGGGTGCCTATAGTGGTCCTTTAAAGGAGCACTATACAGGGAGTGCAGAATTATTAGGCAAATGAGTATTTTGACCACATCATCCTCTTTATGCATGTTGTCTTACTCCAAGCTGTATAGGCTCGAAAGCCTACTACCAATTAAGCATATTAGGTGATGTGCATCTCTGTAATGAGAAGGGGTGTGGTCTAATGACATCAACACCCTATATCAGGTGTGCATAATTATTAGGCAACTTCCTTTCTTTTGGCAAAATGGGTCAAAAGAAGGACTTGACAGGCTCAGAAAAGTCAAAAATAGTGAGATATCTTGCAGAGGGATGCAGCACTCTTAAAATTGCAAAGCTTCTGAAGCGTGATCATCGAACAATCAAGCGTTTCATTCAAAATAGTCAACAGGGTCGCAAGAAGCGTGTGGAAAAACCAAGGCGCAAAATAACTGCCCATGAACTGAGAAAAGTCAAGCGTGCAGCTGCCACGATGCCACTTGCCACCAGTTTGGCCATATTTCAGAGCTGCAACATCACTGGAGTGCCCAAAAGCACAAGGTGTGCAATACTCAGAGACATGGCCAAGGTAAGAAAGGCTGAAAGACGACCACCACTGAACAAGACACACAAGCTGAAACGTCAAGACTGGGCCAAGAAATATCTCAAGACTGATTTTTCTAAGGTTTTATGGACTGATGAAATGAGAGTGAGTCTTGATGGGCCAGATGGATGGGCCCGTGGCTGGATTGGTAAAGGGCAGAGAGCTCCAGTCCGACTCAGACGCCAGCAAGGTGGAGGTGGAGTACTGGTTTGGGCTGGTATCATCAAAGATGAGCTTGTGGGGCCTTTTCGGGTTGAGGATGGAGTCAAGCTCAACTCCCAGTCCTACTGCCAGTTCCTGGAAGACACCTTCTTCAAGCAGTGGTACAGGAAGAAGTCTGCATCCTTCAAGAAAAACATGATTTTCATGCAGGACAATGCTCCATCACACGCGTCCAAGTACTCCACAGCGTGGCTGGCAAGAAAGGGTATAAAAGAAAATCTAATGACATGGCCTCCTTGTTCACCTGATCTGAACCCCATTGAGAACCTGTGGTCCATCATCAAATGTGAGATTTACAAGGAGGGAAAACAGTACACCTCTCTGAACAGTGTCTGGGAGGCTGTAGTTGCTGCTGCACGCAATGTTGATGGTGAACAGATCAAAACACTGACAGAATCCATGGATGGCAGGCTTTTGAGTGTCCTTGCAAAGAAAGGTGGCTATATTGGTCACTGATTTGTTTTTGTTTTGTTTTGAATGTCAGAAATGTATATTTGTGAATGTTGAGATGTTATATTGGTTTCACTGGTAATAATAAATAATTGAAATGGGTATATATTTGTTTTTTGTTAAGTTGCCTAATAATTATGCACAGTAATAGTCACCTGCACACACAGATATCCCCCTAACATAGCTATAACTAAAAACAAACTAAAAACTACTTCCAAAAATATTCAGCTTTGATATTAATGAGTTTTTTGGGTTCATTGAGAACATGGTTGTTGTTCAATAATAAAATTAATCCTCAAAAATACAACTTGCCTAATAATTCTGCACTCCCTGTAGTGTCAGGAACACAAACATGTATTCCTGACCCTATAGCGTTAAAACTACCATCTAGCCACCCTGGTCCACTCATGCCTCCCTAAAAAATGTAAAATTTTACATGTGTTCAAGTCTGGAGCTGCTAGCTCGGTCTCTGTTTCCTTTAGATCTGCCTGCTGACATCAGCAGAAGTGGTAGCCTGCTCCAATTACAATGCTTCCCCATAGAATTGGCTGAGACTGACAAAGAGGCAGATCAGGGGCAGAGCCAGCACAGTTCAAACACAGCTCTGGCCAATCAGCATCTCCTCAGAGATGAATTGAATCAATGAATCTCTTGGAGGAAAGTTCAGTGTCTGCATGCAGAGGGAGGAGATATTAAATGCGTGGATGCATTTTAGGCAGCCATGACCCAGGAAGGATCTCTAACAGCTATCTGAGGAGTAGCCAGTGAAGTTATCACTAGGCTGTAATGTAAACACTGCATTTTCTCTGAAAAGACTGTGTTTACAGCAAAAAGCTTAAAGGTAATGATTCTACTCACCAGAATAAATTCAATAAGCTGTAGATGTTCTGGTGACTGTAGTGTCCCTTTAAGTAATTCAATGCTAAATTAACTTTCATTGCTGACAAAGTAACTCTGCATGGAATATTACCTTGTGTTGGCTATACATGCAGTCATGCCTCCAAAGGACATGCTGAATTATAATTTTGGTAGTTGTGTGTCATAGTCTGAGAGAACGGTCTTGCAAGATGTTAACAATTGGTTGTCTGTATTTTAAGAATGGTACATTATGGTGTGTGTGTGTGTGTGTGTGTGTGTGTGTGTGTGTGTGTGTATATATATATATATATATATATATATATATATATATATATATATATATATATATATATATATATATATATATATATATATATGTATGTATGTTTATTATTCATGGCAGCATATACACATGGGTTAGAGCCTCCTCTTACAGCGAGATAGAGGAATAAACCAAATTATTTTAAAGTAGTATCCCTGCATAGGTCCCTCAGTCAGTAACCAGCTCCTACAGAAGAAGCAAAACCAACACTGGGTGGGTAGTATATGCTGCCATGAATAATAGCCAGGAAAAGAAAATTACGGTGAGTATGAATACATTTTTCTCTTTCCTGGCTAATCATGGCAGCAAATACACATGGGAATACCCAAGCTTTCAGGGAGGGACAGTAACATACATAACTGGCAATCAAATAATCAGAACAATTCAACATGGATTAGAATATTGAACTGAGTAAGGGATGTGGCATCCAAATTGCGCCTAATTGATTGCTACAATGTCCAGTATGTAATGCTGGACAAACTAGTTCAAAGAGATCCAAATGCCAACGTTACAAAGTTTCAGCAGAGATCATTGCCATGGAAGCCCACAATGCTGCAACAGCACTAGTGGAGAGTGCCCTGAAACCCTTTGGTACAGGTAGAGCATGGCATTGAAAAGCTTTCACTTTAGACAGGGTCTCTGGTGCTAAATGCAAGACAACCATATCCTGTTGAAATTCAGGATCAAACCTGGAGTTCATACATTCATGAGGTACCAGGCAACAGCACTTTCTGTGCTGACACCATGGAAGCTCCTGCTAGAGGTTCGAATGGTGGTTTAGTCAAAGCCTGTAAGACCAGAGGTAGGTCACATATGGACTTCAGCACCCTCAGAGGCTTGAATTTAATTGCTGCTTGCATGAAGCAAAGCTCAATGGGAACCCATCCATGTGGAAAGTGCCAATATGTGCTCCTCTAGAGTGTTATAATTCAGACCATATCAAGGCCAGATTGAGGAGTAATTCCAACCATTCTTGAGACCGACAGACAAATGTAATCTGTAAAGTATGTATAGGACAGTAAGAGGAACTTGATGACCGTCTCAGGGATGCCTATACTTCTAGAGACACCAGCCTCAACACCAGGACTTAAGGATCTTGGTGTGTCAATGGACCTTGTAATAATAGTTCTGGACATACTGGAATTTCCATTGGAGGTTCCAGATTCATCTTTCTCATCAAGGAAATTTAGTATTCTTGGCCTTCCACTGTCTCCTTTAGGAACGTTGAAGACAGGAAAAGTCTGTAAATCAGACTGAGAATCCAAATTTGAGTCAGTTTCCTGACTTTGAGCTTTCTGGTCCTAAAAACGCGATATAGGATACATTTGCATTGATATTTGAGCAAATTTATTCCCACTTGTTCTTCAGCAACCTTCTGTGTAGAAGAGCCCTGAAATTACTCATAATTCCATTACATTGGATGGAAATATTGTTCCTTCCCTTATTCACACTCCTTGTGTAGCATGGTCCAGACAGTGTGTATCCAATCCTTGAAAACTGGAATCCGAGCTTATAATCGCCCAATGAAGTTCTGTTGATAGGAAACCCAGAGACATACTCTCTCTTTCAGCTACCAGGTAAAGTGTAACTCCACTGATGGTGACATCGTCCGTGGCTGTCCCCAATTCATCTTCTCTTGTTGAACTGAGATAGGAAGGACCTTTGAGGAATCCTGACATGCCATTGAGCCCATCTGACAAGTCTAAAAACTGGAAAACGTATCACAACAATTATATCATCAGTAAAAGTGCTGTTTGTGTGTGAAAAATGCAAAAAACGTCATTTTCACTGACAATATCATCGCTGTGATATGTTTTACTGTTTTGAATCACTAATATTTGTGTTAGCGAAGTCTCCCGAGTAAAACAGTACCCCCCATGTACAGGTTTTATGGTGTCGTAGAACGTCACAGGGTAAAATACAGTGCTAGCAAATTAAATTCTCTGGAATTTCGGCCTGGGTTGGCAGGCAGGTCCCTCAAATGGCAATCAATAAAATTACTGAATTATGTAAAAATATTACATAAATACGCACGTAGAATTTAAATATATATGCATATTTATATATTTGAAGTCAACGTGTATATTTATATAATTTTTTATGTAATTTTGTATATGGACATATGTATATTTCGTATTTTTATTTATTTATATATACATAGATATATATACAAATTCATTCTAAGTATATTTTGATATAAATAATATTAATTTTGAAATACAGTTAGAATAAAATTTCATATAGATATATAATTTTTTTAAATTGTTTATTTAAAAAAAAATAATTTAAATTACTTATTTATATTTTATAATAATATATATATATATACAATATATATATAGTTATTATATATTATATATATACACGTGTATAATTTAATTAAAAGTGTATTTTTATATTATAAGTACATATTAATATAAAAATACACTTAGTATGACATTATATATGATATATAGACATATATTATATAGATATAATATATGTCTATCATATATACACATATATAATTGTTTTTTTTTGTTTTTTGTTTTTTATTAACACTATTTTTTTTTCTTTCTGATTTTACACTAGCAGGGAGACTGCCTGTCAGCACAGACAGTCCCCCTGCAGGCAGACACATGTCCACCTATTGTGACCATGTGATCACTGTGTTAAGCGATCACATGGCCACAGGGGTCCTAATTCAGTGTGGGGAGACTGTCTGGGCTGCAGGCAGTCTCCCCACAACGGGAGCAACACTGATCGCCGCCGGGGGAACGACGGCGATCAGGTAAGTACCTCTGACCGTTAGGACGGTTCAGGACCGTCATCGGTCGGCAATGTAAAAATGCCGATGACGGTCCTGAACCGTCCTCGGTCGCGAAGGGGTTAAAGGCATCTTATTCTAAAAGGCATCACAGCATAAGGCAGTAAAGGCACAGCTGCATGATTTAAAGATATTACAGCTTAAGGGACAGCTGCATAATGCATTACAGCACAAGGCACAGCTGCACAATGCTCCAGTTTAAAGGCATTACAGCATAATGCACCACAGGTTAAAGACATCAGTTTAACCCCTTAACTACACGTGAACTGTCATGATACCCTTTTATTGCAGTAGTTTGGTCCTTAAGGGGTTAAACACATTACAGCATAAGGCACCTTAAAATAGCAAAACAAAGTAATGAAGAGAAAAAAAACCTACATGTCCTTGAGTAAAGGGAGCAAAATGCTCACGTCGTTTTTGTTTTTTTTGTTTTTTTTTAATTTTACAATTTTTTATTTTGGTACAATAGCAAGACTGTAAACATTGGGTGGGATGCAGAATAAAGAAATAAGGAAGGGGGGGTGGTAAAGGGCCCCAGTGAACATTCTTCATTATTTAACATCTTTTGCCAGTAGTTTTTGCATATTTTACACGTTATTGGTTTTGCATCTGAGGTTGTCCCTCGTGATGTTGAATTTGTTCAGTTTAGTACCCCGCTTGCGATGTACCCAACATATATACATAAAATTAAACGAATCATGGATATGGAAACATAAACTTATGTACAGTTTATGGCAAGTACTACGGTTTGTTGCTGCAGTGTGTCTCTCTTTTGTAGTGCCCCATCTGGGCTACTCGTTAGGGGTTGCAGGTAGGTGTGCTGTTTATTTATGCTAATGCGTGGTGTGGTTTGATGTGGGCTCCTCCCCGATAGGGGGAAGGTGAGCCCTATACTTTTGCCACAAGTCATATATCTGTGCATTTGTGGTCTCATGAGGTGTAGCAAATCTTTCGTAAGCCACATTAGTGGATATCAGACTCAGCACCTCCTCTACGGGAGGGGTAAATTCTGACCTCCAGTTCCTGGCAATTATTGTTTGTGCTGCTATAATTATTAGAAACGTTAATTTGCGGATAGGTTTCAATTGGTTGATTGGCAAACTGTGTAGTAAGTAGGACTCTGCCGTTTAAAGTAACACTATAGTCACCTAAATTACTTTAGCTAAATAAAGCAGTTTTCGTGTTTAGATCATTCCCCTGCAATTTCACTATCGTTTAGGAGTTAAATCACTTTGTTTCTGTTTATGCAGCCCTAGCCACACCTCCCATGGCTGATTGGCAGAGCCTGAATAAAAAAAAACTGGTTTCACTTTCAAACAGATGTAATTTACCTTAAATAATTGTATCTCAATCTCTAAATAGAACTTTAATCACATACAGGCGGCTCTTGCAGGGTCTAGCAAGCTATTAACATAGCAGGGAATAAGAAAATCTTAATTAAACAGAACTTGCAATAAAGAAAGCCTAAATAGGGCTCTCTTTACAAGAAGTGTTTATGGAAGGCTGTGCACGTCACATGCAGGGAGGTGTGACTAGGGTTCATAAAAAAAGGATTTAACTCCTAAATGGTAGAGGATTGAGCAGTGAGGCTTCAGGGGCATGTTCTATACACCAAAACTGCTTCATTAAGCTAAAGTTGTTCAGGTGACTATAGTGTCCCTTTAACCCAGAATGGCCGGATCCGTGGGCATGTCCACCATATATGAAGCGTGTCCCCTGACATCTCCAGCAGGTGTTGCTGGTTGTTTGGTACATTTTGGATAGCTTGCTGGGTGTCAGGTACCATTGGTACAGTATTTTCCTTGATATTTCTAGATGTGAGGCGCACATTGAGGAGCCCTTGTGAGCTGTGAATGCTCTGACCCATTCCTGGGGTGTCCGTTCCCTCCCTAGGTCTTTGTGCCATTCTTTCTGGAATCCCAATAACTGAGCTTGTGGTTCTCCTATAATAGAGTTGTAGAGTTTTTTTTTTTTTTGCTGTTGTGGACTGATGCATTTGCTCTCAAAGCGTGACATTAGCCCTGTCCCTTGTTCCCCTAGTGTTTGTGAGTGATTTATTTTGGGCCTTTTGTGATATATTATATTGGGTTTTCAGGTCTGTAAAACTCTTGAGAGCCCCTTGATGGGTTAACTGGTGTAAGTGGGTTACCCCGTGTGAGGTCCACACCTTATAATTGAATGACGGGTTTAACACGTGGGGTCGCAGGGGACCACTTCGATGGTGATCAAACCCTGTATCTGTTCCTATGCCAAATAGAGAGCATCAGCCTGGTGGTCAGCAGCATCTTGGGGGTTCAGGGTCATATTCCTTTCGGGGCCAAAATTAGGTGTTCTCCCCCCACCCCAGTCTGGAGGACTCTAATGCCACCCATTGTGGGGTCTGAGCTATGGTGTGGCAACCGATTACATTGGCTACTTGTGTGGCCCTGTGATATTATCTTACATCAGGGAATCCCAAGCCCCCGGCCCTGTGCGAGATAGGAGCCTCCAAGGGAACCTTTGGCTTCTTATTTTGTCATCCAAACTTCAATAGTGTCGACTGTAGGGCTTTGAGGAATTTGGGGGGGTATTGATTTGTAGTGTGCGGAACAAGTACAAGATCTTTGGCAATATCACCATTTTAATAGCCGCACAACGGCCTATCCATGTCATGAATTTTCCCTCCCATTTCTTTAAGGTGTTTTCTATTTCTGTATTTAATATTTGGTAGTTCATTGTGAAGAGAGCGGTATGAGATCTCGTCAGTTTAATACCTAAAAAAGTAAGAGTCCTGTCTCCAGTCATATTTAAATGCTGTCCGTAGTCTGTCCATGGTGTCTCTCTCTATGCCTATTCCCATCGCTTGGGTCTTTGTAGTGTTGAGTTTATAGCAGGATTGTGCACTATAATTCTGTAGTTCTTTTTGGAGGTTGGGGAGGGAGATGTTTGGTTGAGAGAGAGTCAGTAGGACGTCGTCTGCGAAAAAGTTTATTTTGTAGTCCCGGTCGTTTATTGTTCTCCCATGAATGTTTGGGTTGCGTCTAATTGCTTCAGCAAGCGGTTCTAGGGCCAGTACGTAAAGAAGTGGTGACAATGGGCATCCCTGTCTGGTACCTTTTGGTAATGGCGAATGAGTCTGACTGGAACCCTGATGTTGATACAGCTGTGTTTATTATAGGGCCTTAATTGCTGTTAGCTACTGTTGTGGGATCTCAAATTTCGTGAGTACGGCATCCAGAAAAAGCCAATTCAGTCTGTCAAAGGCTTTCTCCGCGTCAAGGGAGACTAGGAGACCTTGCATCCTGTCAGTGTGTATAGTTTAAGATGTCTACTACTTTCCGGGTATTGTCAGAACCCTGTCTCCCTTGAACGAACCCTACTTGGTCATCTGAGATAATTGATGGTAGTATGTTTTTAAGTCGTGTGGCCAGAATTTTTGCATATAGTTTAGTATCAGCGTTTAATAGTGATATTGGGCGAAGGTTTTGACAGAGTGTCGGTGGTTTGCCTTGTTTTGGTAGGGTTATCACTTTGGCTGCTAGAAATTCAGAGGGGAAGGCCCCCGTCTGTACTGCATGGTTATACGCTAATGCGAGTTGTGGGGCCAGGAGGTGTTTGAATTTCGTGTAGTATTCATTTGTGTACCGTCGATGCATTCCATTATTTCGTTTTGCATGATCGGGGAAGCAAGGATTTGTTTTTGGGGTTCTGTTAAAGCTGGTAGGGGCATCTCTGCTAGGTATGATTGTATGCTTGTGGCTGACGGTTTGGGGGTGTTCAGGTCATCCTTAAGGTTATAGAGCTGGCTGAAGTATTGTGCGTATTCTCCGCATATCTCTGCGGAAAGGTTTAGTTTGTGACCTGCTTTATTCACTATGTGTGCTATTCGTGTTTGTTGTCTGTCCCTCAATCTCTGGGCTAGGAGCTTGCTGGCCTTGTTTCCTTGTACGTATGTGTGTGTTTTCAGTCTATTGAGCATGAATCCAAATTTGTTGTAGCCTAATCTCCTTGAGTTTTCTTGTAGGGCTGGTACTCGTCGTTTGTGTTCTAACCCTGGGTGTGTTTTGTTTTCCCTGTGTAGTTGTTCTAACTTCTGTTTGTTTTGTGTCAGTTCTTTGTCGGCTTGCTTTTTAATATATGACGCTCTGCTTATTAGTGTGCCTCTTAACACAGCCTTATGGGCTAACCAAAGCATATGCAGGTTTTGTACTGATGTGGTGTTTGTGGTGAAGTAATGCTGTAGTTCTTTTTCCAGTGTTGTGCAAAACTCTGCGCCTCTCAGCAGTCTCACATGGAGGCACCAGGGACTCCTGTGTTTTGTTTGTATTCGTATGAGCTTACGAGTGTAATGACTGGGACGTGATCTGACCAATTAATGGTTGCTCTATCACATCCCAATACGTGGGTCAAGGTGGTGTAGTGCATCAGACACCCGTCAATTCTCGAGTAAGAGTTGTGTACCTTTGAATATTTTCTTTCTCTCGGGTGGAGGGCCTTCCACACATCTCGGAGGCCAAACGTGGCCAGCCGAGTTCTAAGTGCTTTGCTTTGTTTTTTTAAGGGTGTTGAAATGTGGGGTGGAGGGAGATCTAGTGGAGTCCACTGTTTGGTCAAGGACATGGTTAAGGTCCCCGCTGATTATGAGGGTGCCTTTTCTTACTGATTCTGCTTTTGTTAGAACTCCGTGAAGGAAGTTCCTCTGGTTAGCATTTGGGGATTATATGTTGACCAATGTGTAATCTGAATCATTAATAGTGCACTGCCAAATGATGTAGCGTCCAGGGGGTCTATAATGTGTGTGTGTGTGTGTGTGTGTGTGTGTGTGTGTGTGTTCGATGTCACAGTTAGGTCTTTGCTGAGGAATATGGAGACCCCTTTGGATTTTGTGTGGCGTGCATTTGGTGGGGCTATAAGCGGGTGCACAGTGATGGGTGCATGTCAATTCTGAAGTGTTTCCTGCAGGTATACAATATCTGCTTGATTTTTACTTAGTTCCCTTTCTAGTACATCGTTTGAAGGGTATATTGATGCCCTGTACGTTATGGGAATATAATTTTAAGACTGAATGTGAGTGGTTGACGTTGCGTTTTCCCTATGCTGTGGTTTATGGTTAGTCTGTGTGGTGCTCTTACGGTGTCTTTCCTGTGTCGCCTATATATATTGCTCTTTTGAGAGTTAGGTCCCTGCAGGGCTCCTGCGTGACCTCTGTTAATTCTGCGTGTGTGAGAGTGCCCGTATGTGTGTTTCATACTGGATTTGCTCTTGTCGAGGCAGTTATAAACAGTAATGTATGCAATCATAGACATTACCATATGAAAAAAAACAGTAAACATATATACATAAACATAACCAAAATATTATCCCGAGCAATATGCCCCAAGGGATTTTAACAGATTTTCTCCTGCTAGTTTCTCCCACTAGCTATACCTTATGTGGGGGTGCGTGGAACCAGGTCGAGACCCCTGGATACCCAGGCGACCGTGGCCCCCCTCTTTTGTCCCATGTGAGTTATATGCTAAGGACGTTCAAAGAAATCACTGCAAATATTGGGACAGTGGCATGTAATTTCAATATCCCCCATTCTGAAGGGCATATGTCCTTAGTTTCGTGTTGATGTTATTACAGGTCGTGTCGTGGCACTTTGGAGCGTCGCTTTGAGTGTTGGGCTGGGGGGAGGGGATTAACATGTAAGTCAGCGGTTTGCTGTGTGTAATGGCCTATGGTGTAGCGGGTCTAGTGGAGGCCCCTTCCCTCTGTTCAATGCGTAAATCGCTTGACCCCTCATCGCCCCTTATATCCCTTCCCTCCGCTTATTATCTCTTTTTATCCGATGACAACATGCATTAAAGGTCTATGTGAAGCACATGATGGAAGTATATTACCCATTCTCAGTCCATGTTCTTGAAAGGCATTTCGCACAAGTCCACAGGGTCTTTCATAGCCATAATGTGCAAGCTATATCTTAATTCAGGTAGGAGATGTTTGTCAGCCATTCATCCCTGTTATTTGCCCGTCGTTGATCTGGAGGATTTGGAGTATCTGGTCGACTTCCACTCCAGTTGGATCTCCATTTGTCGTTTGGACCCTTCATTCATGGCCGTTGTGTTGATGCCCCAGCTTCTCGCAGGCGGGTGCCTGCATCTGCATCCGAGGCTGCGTGCGTCTTGCCTTCTCTAACTATCAGCTGCTTTATTGGGAAGCCCCAGCGGTATGGGATGTTTCTGTTCCTGATCTCTGATGTTATTTCTTTGAAGGCTCTTCTGCGCCTCAGTGTTTAAAGCAGAGAGGTCAGCGTACACTTGAATGGATCTGTATTTTTTCGGCATGTCCTGTGCCCTTTGGACCGGAGAATTGCCTCATTAACATGGTAGCCGCAGGCAGGTGTTGTGGTTTCGCCACCCTGTGTGTTCTGTCCAAGAGCAGCATGCTGGGTGGGATGTCAGGGCTTGTAATAGGCCTGTCAGGTAGGCCACAAGGTCTATGGCCAGGACGTCTTCGGAGATCCCTCTTACACAAGTTTTGGCACCGGGATCTATCTTCTAAATCTGTTTTTCTAGCCGTTCCTGCATTTCCTCCAACTTTGTCGCCATGGTGTTGTGTGTTTTGGCATAGTCCGCCATCTTGTTTTCTATGTGGGCTGTGCGGTTGCCGAGATCTAAGATATCTCTCCTGAGGTCTGCTATAGCTGATTGTACTTAGTTAGCCGGGGAGCTCAGTCTCTACGCATCCATACAGCTCAAGCGCAGGCTCACATCTTAAGGGCTGTAGGACAGGAAAAACACTGAGGTGTACGTGTGTGTGTCAGGGCTCGACAAATCCCAGGCGCCAGATCGCCACGGCGACTAGAAATTTCGCCATGGCGTCTGGGATTTGCCAGCTCTCTGTGTGGGAAGGGGCTTTGACGCCGCTTGCGGGTACATGGAGGATGCCGCCCGCGGGAGAATTATGGGCGGCGCGTGAGGGAGCAGTACTGTACTCTGTAATGATGTCGTAGGGAGGCTGAGCGGGTTTCAATTAAAACAAGTGTGTGTGCTTGTGAGAGAGCCTGTCGGACTGTGTGCGCGCTTGTGAGAGAGCCTGTCGGACTGTGCGCGCGAGAGCCTGTCGGTCTGTGAGGAAGGTGTGTGTGTTTTTTTTTTTTTTTTTTTTTTTTTAACACTCTCCTTTTTTCCCATATTCCCACGACGTGACAGTTTCGCCATGGCTGAAATTATCAATCTTAATGATCATAGCTAAGGCAATGCTTTCCCTTAGGAAAGCATTGGGAGGATTTTGTGCATGCGCAGAAAATGTACCAATCCGCATCTCCTCATAGAGATGCATTACAGTAACCAATCTCTATGAGGAACATTCAGCGCCTCCATGCAGAGCTTTAAGACACTGAATCTGGTTTCTGCACGTGGTGCAGCAGTGACCCACTAGAGATAGTGACCATCTGAGTGACTGTCGTCAGAGGTGCTAGTAAGCAGCAATGTAAACTCTGCCTTTTCGCAGAGCTCCTGGTGCTCTGTCAGTCAGTAATGAAACTAAGGGAGGCAGGGGAAGGTATTGAATAAGTACGTGCTATTTGACGCATCTGAGGTATGACACAGAAGGTGGATTGGTGCAGACCCACAGGGGTAATGAGATATTGTAGGAATTGTGGTATGTTATGTTAGTAGATATCCTAGTCTGCCTAACAGGATACACAGTGAAATAACATACATCCATAAGTAGGAGGTTGTGCAGTAAATCGTAGATACCTAGCACCTAAAGATGTAACGTACATGAGTGAGATGTAAGGCCAGCTCGTGGATCCAACCGATTAATCTATAAAACCTACCTAATGAATGTAGTAGAAGGGGTTTGAAGAGTAATGTTGCCCTTAAATGCTGAGTACTCCGTAACCTGTAATAACCATGTTATCAGTAATGACTTTGATACGAATATTCTCTAACCCATGACACATATGGAAGAAGAAACGGATACAAGTGAAAGCAGCAGTCCTAATAATGAACCTAAAGTTATAATAAATTATGTAAAAAGTAGGTGCGTGGCCCTGCCCTGGACCTCTTTGAGAGTAGAACAACATACTTAAGCTGAAACAGTAGTGCTGGTAAGGAGCATAAACGTGGTAATATAGTCAATAGAGTATACTATACACTTGAGGAGAATTGAGGCAAGCAGTGAAGGAAGCCACCATAACAGGTGAATTAGGATAAAGATCCTAAATTTAGTTAAATAATTATACACCAAGGCTTCAATTAAGGTAACTTGTCATACAGAATTTGTGATCACATCTAATCCCCAGTTAAGTGTCAAAGACTACCTTGAATATAGAAAACGATACAAGAAATTATAATCATACGTTAGAAATGGAATAGTAGTAGCATAGGTGCAGGTTATACACTGTTGGTGTTGGACATAGATTAAGGAATCGAGCCTTAGTGACATAAGTATAGGAATGCACCGGGTGAGCATTTAGATGCTTAGTTGAGTGAAAACCAAATGGTGTTTATTTAAGCAAACCAGTGTATCGTCTACATCTACTAACAAAGCATGAAAACCGATGAACACGTAATGCACTTGCTTTAACTAAATTAAATACTACCTTTAACAAAACGTAAGACTAACTTAAGATATCGACATGTGCAATATGGATACTGACCAATATAGGCCGAAATTTAACACTCCGTATTAAATGAAACAAAGAATTTATAAACCTTCCGTAAGATTACGTGTAGAAAATAAACATTAAAGGACCACTATAGGCACCCAGACCACTTCAGCTTAATGAAGTGGTCTGGGTGCCAGGTCCATCTAGGATTAACCCTTTCTGCTGTGAACATAGCAGTTTCAGAGAAAATATGTTTACAAATGGGTTAATCCAGACTCTAGTGACTGTCTCATGGACAGGCGCTTCCGTGCTTCTCACTGTGAAAATCACAGTGAGAAGACGCCAGCGTCCATAGGAAAGCATTGAGAATGCTTTCCTATGGACTGGCTGAATGCGCGAGGCTCGTGCCGCGCATGCGCTTTCAGCCGATGACTGGAAAGGAGGAGAGTCCCCAGCGCTTTGGAAAAAAGGTCACTGTGTGTGTGTGTGAGCCTGTCACTGTGTGTGTGTGTGAGCCTGTCACTGTGTGTGTGTGTGAGCCTGTCACTGTGTGTGTGTGTGAGCCTGTCAGTGTGTGTGTGTGAGCCTGTCACTGTGCCTGTCACTGTGTGTGTGCCTGATTATCGCCATTATCGGATTAAACGATAATGGCGCTGAGGTACAGATTTACCTGGTATTTACGCATCTTATACACTTATCAGTCCTTGGGAGTTGGTATGGGGCTTGCCCCTTTTAGTTTGACACTTGTATGGTCCACAATACGCATACGTTAATCAGACTCTTATGAGTTACTGTTTCTGTTGTATAGGCGGCAAGGATTGTGGTCGGGGGAACCATGGGAATCTAAGGTGCCCGTGGTGTCTGCTGTTGTAGGTGAGTTGCTATCAGGAATGATGGCTTCAGCCGCACAAGCTCCTGATGGAACGTGGGGGCCTCCAAGATGGGGACCAAGATCACCCCCGCTGGTCCAGAGGGGGTGGGGGTTAGTGATAAATTTTTACATGAGTCTGAGCCCTTTATGCATAGGGCTGGGAGATCGGCTGACTCAGCTGCTGGGCCGCATGCTGGTCAACGCCTGGATAAAAACAGGAGACCGTGGGAAGCTTTCCTAACGAATTAACATTCTTTTCAATTACCTAAACAACTGGAAGTTTCTCCTGAACTGAGCAAAGCTCAACCATTCAGGAGGAACTTTACGATTAACCCCTTCCTCACCCTTGAGCCCGGCGGAAGGGGGGCCCAGAGGGGTGAGGGGGACCCAAGGACCCTATAGAGTCAGGAAAACAAGTATGGGCGTTTAAGGACTAGAAAAACTGGTGAGGGCCGTATGTGGGCCGGAATAACTGTAATCACTTAACCAAATGCACGGTGAATTGTGAATAGTAGCAGTAATGGAGCTCCATTGCAGAGCGCTCTGTGGATCTGAAACAAATATAATACATGTAATACCGCATCCAGTCGCTATGATATGAATATAATATATACATGTATAAACCCACCTAATTGCTTCTGGAGAGCAAATCTTTAGAGTCATGCCCGGAAGATCCATGGCCTTAATGTAGCTTAAGTTAGGGAGGTTATCTACCTTCTATGATTTGAACAATAAGAACTGACAATTAACCTGAATAACACAATTGAGTCCCCTACAAAGAGAAACATGCGTAACATCAGAATATACTGATAAGGCGTGATAAAATAATTAACAAGCAAGCACTTGCTTGACCTGAATTAATCACTTTAAAATATCAAACTTCAAATATATCCCGTGCAATATCAAAATTGACCACTAGAGGTCGTCATTAAACATGCAGTAACTACCCCCGAATTCAATTAAACTCTTGTGCAATATAAAAACTGACCACGAGAGGCCGACCTTTAAAATATACAGTATTTAACTGAAACAGTGAAGTAAAACAATATGAGATCGTGGATAAAACCTACTGCTAAAATAGGGCGTTCGGTTATAAATATACAAACTGCCCTTGTGGTGGGCTAACTTTAGTATATAACCAAACATTCCGAGATTAACGAAAACTGCACGAAATAATAGTTTGAGAAATACAAAAACTTGACACTGACCGCCTGTGACTGAGGCGCGACAGGCGACTCTGCTCACATTTTTTACGATTCAGTCGACAAAGTGACTGGAGCAGGTACGGGAGTCCTGTCAAGGCTCTAGAGAGTTGGAAGACAGCGAAACGGACGACCTAGGGCTGCAGGACCAGGTAAGAGTTCCCACGAGTTTGAAGGCAAGTAAAATGGCGATTTGCACAGACCGGCAGTCACTGTATGTAAATAGCCGGATTAAACGATAATGGCGCTGAGGTACAGATTTACCTGGTATTTACGCATCTTATACACTTATCAGTCCTTGGGAGTTGGTATGGGGCTTGCCCCTTTTAGTTTGACACTTGTATGGTCCACAATACGCATACGTTAATCAGACTCTTATGAGTTACTGTTTCTGTTGTATAGGCGGCAAGGATTGTGGTCGGGGGAACCATGGGAATCTAAGGTGCCCGTGGTGTCTGCTGTTGTAGGTGAGTTGCTATCAGGAATGATGGCTTCAGCCGCACAAGCTCCTGATGGAACGTCGGGGCCTCCAAGATGGGGACCAAGATCGCCTCCAAGATGGGGACCAAGATCACCCCCGCTGGTCCAGAGGGGGTGGGGGTTAGTGATAAATTTTTACATGAGTCTGAGCCCTTTATGCATAGGGCTGGGAGATCGGCTGACTCAGCTGCTGGGCCGCATGCTGGTCAGCGCCTGGATAAAAACAGGAGACCGTGGGAAGCTTTCCTAACGAATTAATATTCTTTTCAATTACCTAAACAACTGGAAGTTTCTCCCGAACTGAGCAAGGCTCAACCATTCAGGAGGAACTTAACGAATTAAAACACGAAATAAAAATACGAACAGTCTAAAGTTTCCCTTGACCAGAGCTCAAAAACTCGAACGTCAAGGGGAAACGAAAACAAATAACCGAACAAGAAACATATTTATTAATGCGAAGGCTTAAGTATACGAATGCAAGAGGCAAAGTGACAAACATTAGAACTCTTGGCAAAGTGAAATGACTAGGCAAACGTTCGGTTATACGAACGACTGGGAACCCATGAAATCATACGAAGCCTGAGACCAGCGAAATGTCAGTAAGGCACAAAATCTTCAAAAGGAGCCAAACACTTTTCGTGAATATAGGAAAACTGGAGGAAGCCCAAGCAGCGGGCGCTCGAGAGAGAACCTCACGTTACCTTCCAAAAACCGCGAGACTGGATCCAGGAAATGACCGGCAGCGACGCTGTGAAGCAGATTGAAGAAGCTGTCGGTATGGAGAGCTTTTAGCAGCAAGGTACTAAGTAACTTATAGTGGTACTCTCCACCTATAAGGAAGGAAAAGATTCGGAGCTATGCAGTAGCTATAGGCTCATATCATTGTTGAATTTGGATATTACATTGTTTTCGAAGGTCCTAGAACAAGGACACAGACAGGTATTTAGAAGCTAGTCCACCCAGTTCAAAGTGGCCTTATACCTGGAAGGGAAGCTAGAGATAATATTATTAGAGTATATAATATTATAAAACCAATAGAGTGAACTAGGTGGAGAGTATCACCAGAAGTTATTTTGTGTAGTATTTACACGCGTGTTTAGCTGCTGTACTTATACATTGGATGTACTCTATTACTAAACTCCTTATATTACACAGAGCACCTTTTGATATAATATTATACACCTGGCCCCCTATTGTTACTGTCCACAGATGCGGAAAAGGCATTTGACCGGGTGAACTGGACGTTTATGCAAGCAACTTTAGAACATATGGGTTTTGGAGGGGGAAATTAGGCAGTGGATAAAGTCTCTTTTGTTACTAGCACAAATACCTGGATAAATGTGAGCGGATCATTTTCAGAGTTAGTTCAGATTTTAAAAGGTACATTAGTCGCACCTACACTTTGCCCTCTGCTCCCGCTTGCATATAACCCAGAATTAGCAGAAGGCATTCATAAAACGGAGTTGGCTTTTATAGGGCCAGGTGAGGTAATACCAATCCAAAGGGTGATGGATATTTCGGGATTTCGGAAATTGGAGGATTTCGTAATTAAATACCTAAATCTATGGAGAGATCTCGGTATGCTCAGATTAGGCATTTTTATAAATCCATAACAAAAAAAATATGTTGAGCAGAGGAACTACAAAAGTTTGAGGACATATGTAGCAAAGGAAAATCAATCAGGCATGGGATATAAGCAATGTATCAATTGTTTTTTACGAAAGATATTCGCCGTAAAGTATTTAAGAGAAGGAGGCCTTGGAGATATTCTCAGAGGAACAGTGGTTAAAGATTTGACACTGAATCATTATAGTACATTATGCACCAAATGTCAAGAAACAAACCTGAGAATGTCCACTTACACCACACAAGTCTATCAATAACTAAATATAAAAATCAATTGTTAGATTTTTATTAAATGCGGCAAATGTCCGTATTTCTATGTTCTGGAAGACTAAGGTTTCTCCAACCGTACAGAATTGGTTGGATAAAGTGAGAGAGATTGAAAATGCTGATTCAAGGTTTGCAATAGCACATAATAATGGCGAAAAACATGCTCAAAAGTGGCACCTTTGGCATACATTTATCCAACACAGGTAGAATGCAGTTCTATTGATAAGTGGCTGGAGGGGTTTAAAAATGGGAGTTCTAAAAAGGGAGTTAAAAGTAAGCAGGGGCGGCTTTTGTGTGTATGTATATATTGTATGTATACGGCTTTTGTATATATGTGTGTGTGTGTGTATGTATGTATATATATATATATATATATATATATATATATATATATATATATATATATATATATATATATATATATGTATGTATATATATATATGTTTATATGTATGTATATAAAATTATGAATTCTACCACTCTTTCTTGTAAGAGTCAGTTTATCTAGTGCACAGTGTGTTTTAAGCTTTTAAATAACTTTGGTCCCTGTAATAAATTTGTGTAATTTTTTACCAGTTGAGCTTACTCACTCTGTCAGTGTATTTCCTTAGCCCTCTATTTGGGTTTACTTTGTGGGAATACTATTAATAATGTAAATCTTGTACAATCTACACCATCATGTGCTTTCTATGTATTTCTTTCTGTATGTGCTGAGGAATTACTACACGGAGGTCATCTTTTGAATACCAAGTATTCTTATTTGCCTCAATTCCCTCACATTCCATATATATATTTAGGGTTTATCACCTTAATAGTCACCACTTTTTGATACACTGCTCCACTCTCAATTAGTCTTCTCATTGACATGCAAGTCCATTCATAACTTTTTTTGACATGTTTTTATGGATTTTGTTTTTTGGGGTGGGGGGGGTGTTCTGTTTCTCGCTGTTAAAATACACCTACCATTAAAATATTAGACTGATCATTTCTTTGTCAGTGGGCAAACATTCAAAATCATACTACCCAGAGCCTCTCCTCTACTGAGGAAGAAACATCCCTGTTTCAGGCAGCGGGGCTACCAGTACCAGACAGGGTATCAGGAAGCCAAACCGGCACTCACATATGGGACCCAACCATCATGGTCCTCCCCTTCGTCCCACGTTCTCAACATTCGCGACTGGTGGACTTGACTAAGAAGTCAGCTGACCCTATGAATGTGTGTGTTACATATTAAGTATTGTTTAAATGTGTTTTCTACAAAAAAAAGGCTCCTAACTGTGCATGACGTAATACTGCAAAAGTAATGTCTATCTACTATTGCACCCTCCCTTTCTTTTTTGTATCCTACACTCTCTTGCCTCCATAAAAGAGAGGGGGAAATATAAATATTATATATATTCTTTGCAAAGCATTAGCCTAGCACCAATAAAGGCAGGAGTTGCTTAAATAAAAATAAAAAATAAAAAAAAATATATATATATATATGTGTGTATATATATCAAACCCCTGCACTCCAATAAAAAAAATATATTTTACCTGGTGCTCTGGTAGCTTAATTGTAGAAAGTAGAAAGACCGGCACTCAAGGAGTTTTAACAGATTTTACTGTGTAAAGATAAATTAACGTTTCAGCTCCACTAGGGAGCTTTCATCAGGACATCATCGGTATGTCCTGATGAAAGCTCCCTAGTGGAGCTGAAATGTTGATTTATCTTTACACATTAAAAGCTGTTAAAACTCCTTGAGTGCCGGTCTAGGAATAGCTCTTTGTGAATTTTGAAGTGCAAAAAAAAATCACAATACAATGAGCATTGTGTTTGTGGCTTTTATTTTTATTCTGATAAAAATTGTTTTTGATTTCAAAATGTATTATGTAAATTTAAGAGGAGTGGAGAGGGTAACTTTCTTTCTGTGAGGAATTTGTGACACCTATTTTAGAGAAGAGGGCTACACTTTTATTTTATTTTTTTAATGGTTTCTAACCTCCTTTTACTGTGCATTGTTTAACTCGCCCATTATTACATCTATTGTGAGTGCTATAAATTTAGTTTTTCTTTTTTTGAACAGCGTGAAATTCGTCAGCAATTAGCAGAAAAGGCAAAATCTGGCGATCTTAAAGTAGTCAATGGATCAAATGCATCAGCAGCCGTGCAGCCGCCATCAAAACGCAAACGACGTTGGGATCAAACTGCAGACCAGACTCCCGGGTCTACGCCAAAGAAAATGTCAAGCTGGGATCAAGCTGAGGTCGTTGTACTTAATCTAGCTTTCTACATAGATTCAGTATAATTATTTTCCTCTTTAAAATAATGTTATTTCGATCACTTTGGTACTTCTTCATTGGATGTTTCTTCTTAAAGGAAAGTTGGCACTGCCCAGGATTTTTATTATTATTGGTATTTAAACTTATTCTGCAGCGCTTTACAATATATTTTAAAATTTTACTTGTCTTTATATTAAACAAATGTTTAACATTTCAAAACGAAAAGCTGCACATACATATTGCTAATAGCAGAAGTGTTCAAGAAGGTTGAAGTAACCCTTTAAGAATGAAAAAAGTATATCACTGCCTCTTTAAACTTTGGTATAAATTAGATATTCGATAAAAAAAAAAGTGAGCATTTGTGTATCCTGACTCTTCGGTATTAGGAAATGTAAAATGTTGCAGGAATATGTGATACATAATAGATGTAAAATATATATTGGCACAATATACTACTGCAACATGGATCACAAGAGGTTGTTATGCAGATTTAATAAATTAATTTTAAGAAATTTTCGATCAAAAGCGAATTAATTTTTTTTTTTTTTTTTTTTTTCTCACGGAAGACTCCTGGGCACACTCCTTCTTCATTAAGATGGGATGAAACTCCTGGTCGATCAAAAGGAAATGAAACTCCTGGAGCCACACCAGGCTCAAAGATATGGGATCCTACTCCTAGTCATACACCAGCAGGTGCAGCAACACCAGGACGTGGTGACACACCAGGCCATGCAACTCCTGGACATGGGGGTGCAACATCTAGTGCACGGAAAAATCGTTGGGATGAGACACCTAAAACAGAACGTGGTGAGTCTTCTCTCTAAATGGTCCTTTGTGTTTCTCTTGTTGTGTTTTATATATATATATAATCTCTTTGCTTAACAATCTGTGTATTTGGTTACCTCATTCATGGTACTATTCCCAATTTAGACACTCCTGGACACGGAAGTGGCTGGGCTGAGACTCCTCGCACGGATCGAGGGGGAGACTCTATAGGTGAAACTCCAACACCTGGAGCAAGTAAAAGAAAATCACGTTGGGATGAGACTCCAGCAAGTCAAATGGGTGGTAGCACTCCTGTTTTGACTCCTGGCAAAACACCAATTGGTACACCTGCTATGAACATGGCAACACCTACTCCAGGTAAGGTTTTTTATTTTATTTTTTATATTGGTTTACGGTTTTAAACTCTGGTTTTGCGGATTTAATTTTTGCAAGACAAATATGCAGCATTCTGTATAGCGATGGCTTCCAATACTAAACCACATAAGCGTTTAAATCCAATCTTTATCTGTGAAACATTGGATTTGAAACATACTAATTAGTTAGATAAACACACTTATATTATAATTATATAGTTTTACTGTTCTAGAGTGTTATTTAGATTTACAAAACAAAACTTCGAAACGTACTGGTAATCCTGCTTTTCCCTTGTTGCTCAGTCTTCCTGCTGCTACCTTGATGAGATCATCCGTATTCTTAGGTCTAATCCAACACTTCCCATTGAATCCATTGTAAGGACTAACTTAAGACTTTTAATTATAGAAATTAACAGGGGAAGGTCTGCACATGAGCAAAAACACAGTCAGTTACATGTGCAGTGTTTCCATTATGTTGGGTTTTAGGAGCTGATCACACATACTGAAGCGGCTCCTGCTGAATGCTAAACCGCTAAATGCATTAACAAAGTGCTGATTTGAAAAAAAAAATCTTTTTTTTTTTTGGAGGGGGGTGTTTTTTTGTGTGTTTTTTTTTAAATATTTCAAGTATTCGTGTTTGTAGTGATAGCCTTTATTAGAAAATATTTGAAGGTTTTATACTTTCCTTTGGGTTCTTTTACTGACATCGCCTAAATAGGGAACAAGGTTATAGACCCTCCTCTAAGCAGTGCAAACTAACTCCTTGTGTTATTACTGATTTGAAATGTCATCCAGTGCCTATACAGTAAATGGCCTGCAGGGAACCTAGACTGTAGGAAAGATAACAAACCAGTAGCCATTGCAGTTTTCCACATTATCATATTAATGATTGCTTGCTTCCTCTCGAAGTATGAGGCAAAACGTATACATTTTAACCTTGGGTATGGCGAAATTTGTAGTGTGGAGTGTAGTTGAGGATGAGACAGAGACTGCAAGTAGAAATAGTAGGAATATATTTAAAGAATGTCAGTGTCTGCTACCCTTCCTCATGTGGCATTTTCAATTTGTTCAACAAGCTAAGTATGCCAAAGTAAAAAAAAAAAAAAAAATTTCGACTTTCATAATGTATGTATAAATTCATGATGCCTAAAAGTTTGTATTTATATTCTTCTTCAGGACACATTATGAGTATGACTCCTGAACAGCTTCAAGCATGGAGATGGGAGCGTGAAATTGATGAACGAAACCGCCCATTATCTGATGAAGAATTGGATGCAATGTTTCCAGAAGGGTACAAGGTAACATCCAATGTTTTGATTTTATTGATTGCATTTTAGGTTAGACTTTATAAAAGAAAATGTCACTGGTATAAAATGTCTTACAGTTGAGAAATAACCATGGAAACAAATTCTGATGCTATTTTATAATGATCAAGAGCAAGTTAAAAACAACAAATCATATTTTTCTCCCAGGTTCTCCCCCCACCTGCTGGGTATGTTCCTATTCGTACGCCAGCTCGGAAGCTGACTGCAACTCCAACACCTTTAGGAGGTTTGACTGGATTCCACATGCCTCAAGAAGATCGAACAATGAAAAGTGTCAGTGATCAACCATCTGGAAATCTACCATTCCTTAAACCTGATGATATCCAGTACTTTGACAAACTGCTGGTAAGTTCTGGTTGTTCATTAAATCCAAAAATAATTTCAAACAGTTTGAATTTTAACTTTTTTTTTTTTTTTTTGTATATTACACTATAGGAATGCTGGACATATTCCACATTTCACTTATTGAAAGTAACTTTTAGACTAGGCTATTGCTGGATGGCTCACAAGTAAAACAGCCCAATATTATTTGCCATGGAGAACATAATTGATTATTTATTTTGGGGTGGAGGGGGTTGCTGCGTAAAGATCCCGGTATAATGTGGAGTTGTGCACTTGTTTTATTAAGAATTTGTCTTGAGGCATCTTCTAATGCACTTTTGTTCTTCATAAAAGGTTGATGTTGATGAATCTACACTCAGTCCAGAGGAGCAAAAGGAAAGAAAAATAATGAAATTGCTGTTAAAAATAAAGAATGGCACACCTCCAATGAGGAAGGTATGTATTTTTTACTTTATATTATGGAAATCTACTAAAACACATTGTACTCTACAAAGTTGAACATGTCATAAATGTCTTATTCATTTTAATTTTTTTGTGTGTTCTAGGCAGCATTGCGTCAGATTACTGATAAGGCTCGTGAGTTTGGAGCTGGTCCACTGTTCAATCAGATCTTGCCACTACTGATGTCTCCCACTCTTGAAGATCAGGAGCGTCACTTGCTTGTTAAAGTTATTGACCGTATCCTATATAAACTGGATGACCTTGTACGACCATATGTACATAAGGTATTCCAAAATAAATACATATTCACAATAGTAAATTGATTTTTATACAGTTAATGTGTTTAAAGCATGTACAGAATTATTTAGCTGAACTGTGAAAGCATGGCCGACTTAGAGTAGTTTTCCAATTGTGCTATATCGACTTTAAATTTGGAATCCACTCTGAATTCTCCCTTTCGTGAAGAACCTTCTAAGTCTATTGCAGACAGTCATATTTGTCATATTTAAGTAATATCTGTCAGATATGTTGTAAAATTGCACAAACATATTAAAATTTGCTTTTCTTTATTCTAGATTCTTGTGGTTATTGAACCTCTGCTGATTGATGAAGATTACTATGCCAGAGTTGAAGGCAGAGAAATTATATCCAACTTGGCTAAGGTGATTTCTCCCTTTATAATGGCAACACGTCTGTATTTTGCCTTCTATAACTCTATTTAACCATTTTTGTGGAAAATTTTGAAATGGTTTCTGATACATATGTAGTTAAACACACAGCACTAGTATTGTTTTGCAATCTTCAGTTAGATCACTTATAAATTAACACACAACTCCTATTTACCAACCATTTTTGAGTGCATATCTAAATTATGATAACAAAATAAAATAAAATAGACTACCCTCCTGTAACATCCGTTCATCAGAAATCTATTCTATATCTAACTTCCACTGAAACACAGTGTACACAGGTAACTGTACATGCATGATAATGCATTATTTCGTCCTTAAGCGTTAATGGGAGGGACATACATAGCACAAACACAATAATTTCAATTCATTTGAAAGGACATTATAGCAGTTACTACTGGCTTCACTGTTCATTCATGTGCTGACTTATATCATGTACAGTAGTATGTTTTCTGCAATATATGCTTTACAGTTTGTCAGAATTAACAGACTAGGTTATGGAGGCATGGATTTGAGTATATATCTTCTTTTTCAGGCTGCTGGTTTGGCTACTATGATTTCAACTATGAGACCTGATATTGACAACATGGATGAATATGTCCGTAATACAACAGCCCGAGCCTTTGCTGTTGTCGCTTCAGCTCTGGGCATTCCATCCTTGCTGCCTTTCTTGAAGGCTGTTTGTAAGAGTAAAAAATCCTGGCAGGCTCGTCACACTGGAATAAAGATTGTACAGCAAATTGCTATTCTTATGGGATGTGCAATTTTACCTCATCTGAGGAGTTTGGTGGAAATCATTGAACATGGTAAGCTTTGTGTTTTTTTTTGTTGTTTTTTTAATAATTGCTATTTTACAGTTTAAAGTTTTTCATAATGTTTTAGTGGGGAATGAGGGACAGCACTAAATCTGGACTAAGAAAAACCTTGAAGAGGCATTCTCTCAAGATTTAAAGTAGGCTTCAGCTTCTTTTTGTTAAACCACTCAAATTGTTAACCCAGGTCCCCTGTAACCTGCGCAGAGTCCCTTGCTTACAATATTGCTAATGTGAATGTTATATTTATTGATTGAGGAGAGTGTATAATGATCTTATTAACCATAATTGTATTTTTTGTGTGTCTTCTAGTGTGTGACAGACATGATGATTGCGCGGATTAAATTACATTATGATAGTGTGTGTGTGTGTGTATGTATATGTATATGTGTGTGTGTGTATATATATATATATATATATGTGTGTGTGTGTGTGTGTGTATATGTATGTGTGTGTATGTATATATATATATATATATATATAACCAATTCCTGCACTCCAACCTAAATCTAATGGTACCTGGTGCCCTGGTTGCAATACTAACATATCCAAAGAAATACCGGCACTCAAGGCTTTTCAATCCAGACAAATTCTTTTTAATCCAAAACCACTGTCAACGTTTCATCTCCCCATGGAGCTTTCATCAGGACATCAATGTGTGTGTGTGTGTATATGTATGTGTATACTAGAGTATAAGTCGAGTTTTTCGGCACATTTTTTTTTGTGTTGAAAAACCCCCACTCGACTTATAATCGAGTCACTTACATTGCCATAATACAGACCAGGACCGCCGGGCTCATTACAAGCCCGGCGGTCCTGTTGGGGGCTGGCAGCGAGCTGTAACTTACCTTTCCTGCAGCTCCTGTCAGCTCCCTTCTCCTGCGTTCCGGTCAGCTCCACTGTAAATCTCGCGAGAGCCGCGGGGTCAGAGCGTTGCTACGGGTTACCGCGGCAGTCACACACATACTGCATTCTATATATATATATATATATATATATATATATAGACACACACACACACACACACTGCATTCTATACACACACTGTAAATAAATATTCAAATATTTTTGGGGGATCTAATTTTATTTAGAAATTTTCCAGTAGCTGCTGCATTTCCCACCCTAGTCTTATACTCTAGTCGATAAGTTTTCCCAGTTTTTTGGGGTAAAATTAGGGGTCTCGACTTATATCCGGGTCGACTTATACTCGAGTATATCAGTATAAAATCTCTCCTTACACCCACTTCACTCATCCCCCCCCATCCACATTTACATATGCCCTTCTCTGCTACACTCCCCCCTTCTCTCATCTCATGCCTTACACTAATTTTTCTACTCTCACTCCAACCCACAATCGATCTCATCCTAGACCCCATGCATACAAAACCCATTCACACCTCCTGTCACTTTCTCTCCTCCTACTTCTAGCAGCTGGTGATGTCTCTCCCAATCCAGGGCCCTTCACCTTCTCTACTCACACTAAGACAACCAGAAATCCCACAAACCTCATCACAATACCCTGCCCTTTACTCTCACTTACCAAAATTAATTGTGCACACTGGAATGCCCGCTAC